TCTATGATTGTCTACTTGTTAGTGGATCTCTTTTATTATTATTATTATTATTATTATTATTATTATTATTATTATTATTATTTTCATAACGTTCATTTTGTTGAATGTCTATGTAGGACGATGTTGATTGATTTTATATGTGGGGGGCTTCCATGTCAAGGAGTTACTGGTTTCAATCGTTTCAGAAACTCAAAAGCTACCTTGGAAGGCATAAAAAATCATTAGCTAGTAGTGTTCATGGACATTATTGAGTTTTAGAAGCCAAGATATGTTCTAATGGAGAATGTCATAGATATTTTAAAGTTTGGTGGTGGATTTTTTATTAGATATGATATCGGATGTCTTGTTTCCATGGACTATCAAACTCGTTTAGGGGTGATGGTAGCAGGTTCTTATGGTTTAGCACAATTTTGGATGCAGGTTTTCTTGTTTAAGGCAAGTGTATTCTTTAATTTTGTTTGAACATGACACCATGAGCTATATGATCTTATCGGCTTTTCTTCTTTTATCAAAAATTACCACAATATCCATTGTTAACTTATGAGGTCTTATCCAAGGGCCGGTCTTATTCCAACTAAGTTTGAGGTATGTGTCTTTTAACCGATATGTGATTAGTGTTTGCAAAAAATTACCAATATTTTTCATTCATCTAGGAAGTCACTATTGCATATATCAAGAACCAACCTTGTCAATTAAAAAAGGCCACTTGTCTTGACGATGCAATAAGATCCCCACCAATAAGTGTTGCTCCCAAAAATATATTTTTTATATTAAATTTTTCAAAAAGCTTTAGTGTTTTGTGTTGTTTGATGTCAATTTTGAAAATTTCATTCTCATCTTAGGTTACAAATGATGAGAGGGAGTATGAGACAATAGCTTGCACATAGTTTCAAAAATATATCAGACTAAAGTGAAACTGTAAGCTTAATAGAATTTATATTGCTCTTGGAAATGTAAATCTTATAAAATATCCAACTAATGAATAGTATTAAGTTGATCAGCTTTTGCATCTTTGTAGATGTGGTCAGTCTTTCTACTCCTTAAAATGCACCATGACGTATGATCTTCGGTCGTTGAAGTTGAATGAAGATGATTATGAAAAGTCTGCTATATTCCAAAAAAAAAAAAAAAGGTTTCATTGCTTTACCTAATGACATTACACCATTTTATTGGTTTTACACCTCTTTTGGATATTTCTTATCATTGATCAACTCTGCCTATTATTTGTTTTTAGGGTGCAAACTTAAGGGACCTACCAGGTGTCTTTGTTGTTCAAGATAAAAAGGTATAAGATATCATGTTCTACTGAATAACCCAATTTCAATATACGTCCCCATAATTATTTGTTCCAGAGTGTACTTCATCCTTTACAAGATCGATTACTCACAATCTGTGAAAATGCAAGATTATAAGGATTCCCAGATTGCTATTGAATTTTTGGGTCTATTAAAGAGAGGCAAGTGACTTTGAACTAGTATTTCAGATTTTCCTTTGAATAGCTTTTATATTGGAGTTTCATTATCTTAAATATATATTTTGCAAAACTTTATTAGAGGGCGTATAAATGCTATGGTATGGTGTTGTCATTTTAAGACTTTGTCTCCCTAATTGGACATTTTAAAACTTGCAGAATTCCCCAGCCTTAGAATTACAGAAAAAGGTCTAGTTTTTAGTCCTAAACATTCAGGGTTATTTTTCATTTCAAGTACACACAAGTTGGGAACGCAGTAGCAGTTGTAACGCTCACATCAAGGTACGTAGCTTTATTTATGCCCTAATACCCTTAGTTGAATTTTGTTAAAGTTATCTTGAACAAGTGTGAAGAAAATGCCTTAAAATTTCATTAGGGGTAAAATGGTCTTTTCACTCCTAATTAGTTGAAAAAGTGGGAAGTGAAAAGAAGTAGAATAACATGGAGAAGTTGATAAAAATGAGGGCATTATGGTAATTGACTAAGGGACATAGATGGAATTTCATAGAATGTGCAAGGGTAAAATGGGGAACTATAGCTAATATTTTGTTATATCAAGAGTTGAAGAATGAAACCCTTGCCATTTCTTCTCATCCATTCACGCCACCTTCCACCCAAGTTCTCTCAAATTTCTTCACTCATTTTTCAAGGAAATTCATAGATCTTAGTTTGTTTTTAGTGGAATTTCAATCCCAAGTATCCTTAGGTAAGATCCTTGCACTAAGATGTGAGATTTAATTTTTAAAAGTGTTGAATTCTTATGATTTGTGTTCATAGGATTTAAGAGAAAGAGAGTTGGATCAAGGAAGACTACTAAAGTGTTGGATTGGTCACATCTAAGGTAAGTAAATCCAACTCTAGTTATGATTGGAGTAATATTGTGTAGAGAATTTCTTTTATGCATGTATATGCTTATATATGAGGAATTGTTGATGGAATGAATATTGAACAATGGTTAGAATTTATCCATGAGAAGTAGTGTTTGTATACTTGATGGTTGATGAGAGTTTGGGAGAATTATGGAAGAATTGGAGTAGAATTTATGAAGTGTAAATCTTGGACAAGTTTGACGTTGATTGTAGTGAGTTTGATTCCAAATTTTGGTGGCTTAGAAAAGAGGTAGAAGTGTAGCCAAATTAGAGTTGATGTGTGCATATAAATTGCTTGATGAAATGTCAAAGAGAAATGCATGTGTGAGTATGATTATTTGTTATGAGTTTTTAGATGGTTACACTCCATATTGCATTATTGCATCCAAACATGTGAATTTAGAAAGAATAATAAGCATGAGCCCATCTACATACATACATACTCATAAGAGCATTAAAGAACAAAGAATAAAGAGAAAGAAAAGAGAAATATTAAAGAAGTTCAAATATGAAATTTTATTTAAAGAAGTGTAAAAAGATAAAAGAAGAGAAGGTTGTTGTGATGGGGAACCCATGAGTGACATAGCCCCGTAACACGCCGCACGCCGCCTTTAGTGAGCGATCTCAGAATTAGAAAGAAGAATTGTACAATCCGTTAGAAGTGCATGTGGATGAGGACTGTACCCAAAATTAGAGAATACACTCACACGGCCAAGGCTCCAAATCCATGCCTCAACCGAGTCCGATTGGCAAGAAAGAAAGGAATAGAAAGAAAGAAAAGAAAAGAAAAGAAAGAAAAGAAAAGAAAAGAAAGAATAGAAAGAAAGAAAGAATAGAAAGAAAGAAAAGAATAGAAAGAAAGAAAAAATAGAAAGAAATAAAGAATAGAAAGAAAAGAAGCATAGAAAGAAATACAGAGAAAAGAAACAAAAAACAGAATAAGAAAAATAGAAAAACAGAAAATAAAATGCACATCCTATGCATTGTGCATTTGCATCATACCTATGCATGATACCATGCCTACTATCATGAGTAGTGAGAAATTAGAAACAGAGAAAGAACAAAGAAAGAACAGTGAAGATTAGAGAAGTGTGATGTAAGGAAAGAAATTCAAAATATAAGCAACGGAGAGAGAAAAGTAGTATAGTGGGTTTACTTACTGAGCAATTAGTGTTCATCCCGTTGTTTTCAATGTTTTTGCAGGTGGTGGGTGAGATGCGGTTGCTTGGAACGTCAAGAGGCGGAAGGGTTTGGCAACACTATCGAGTTGTTGCTTTGTGACTGTATTATATTATGTAAAGATTTGTATATAAAGAAAAAATTAGATATGGGCCCATTATTTTATACTCCTCTACTTGTATATTTTCTTATATATTTTTAGTGAGTTTTAATGTTATTTTACGAGTACACTAGCTAGAGAGAGAAAGTATTGCAGCAATCCTGATTGGTATTGTGTTGGGATATACATTTGGTCAAGCTTGCCAAGGATTATCCAATAACCAGGTGTTGACAACTCTCCCTTTCAAATTCCTCAGTTGTCTGCACAGTCATCTTCAACGCAAGTGGAAGATATTCCTAATCGAAACTGTAAGAAAATACGAATTAGATCCCTTAGTCTGGTTCACTCCTAATTTAGCTTTCTAACAATTACCTATTGGCAATGGATGTACAAGTTTAAAAAACAATATATAAGGAGACCCCATGTACCTTGATGCAAAATTGTCTGGATACTTTGTTTAAGGCATTTGTATACAAGTAACAGTAACATGTGATTCAAATGCTGGTGCTTGGAGGTTCTTTTGTGCTGCTCCTCTGGTTCTTTATTGGTGCCCCCCACTATAAGAATTTAGGCTTCTCGCAACAAAATAATTTGTCACTATAAATATCAAAATTGTGACCATTTCGCTAATATGAGGAATTATATTGGTCACCAGGTTGCCATTCACCGAATTGCACAGTGAGATAATTTCTCCCGTACCCGAGAGTGATGAATCCTTTGTCAATGCACCATAGTTTTGATACACTTTTCGATGCAGCCTACCACTACCATTATGATAGTCCTGAATAGAACTACGTTGGGCTAGTGTCAAACTACACCAGTTGGTGCACAAGGCGCTCCAGTGACCTCAAGTCTAAGGATCACATGCACCATCATCCGTTGGAGGATTTATTCCATAGATACTGGGGTTATCATCTATGTGGAATCTTCTAGTGGGCCTGTCCAGTGAACTTGCATATAGAAAGCACCCCATTTGTTGCACTAGGTTGTCACCAAACACCATTGACAAGTGAGATCAGTCACTACCTTTCGATGGGGTTGTTCAACACTATGATAGCCTTGTCGTACTATCTATGCCCTTGGTCAAAATAATACTCGGGCTACATACATTTCTAGAATGGGCACCATATGTGATCATAGGGTTCTCTCACTATTGAGATTTAAAACACTCGATACCCTTATCACGGTTCTACCATCCTAAGGACATATATCAAGACATACAAATATGAATTACATGATATGGAAGAAAATGTCTTTTATTGATAAATAAACGTGATTTACAAAGAGTTAATAACACAATATTTGATTGGCTCTAGGGAACCTACTCTAACATGAATGGGAATGAGGTAGGCTATATTATGAAGGAAAACTATGAGGGCGTATGCGAAAACCATGCCAGTGGACGATCCTTGGCTTACAAAATTCGCANAAATTAGCTAAATCAGATTCTTGGTCTAGTTGGAATAAGGATGAAGGAAGAGATGGCCCTACTTCAAGTATGTACAAGGAAGCTTCCAAGTCCAGCAATTGGGATTCAGAGGATAAGAGAGCTGAAGATAAAGTTGAAAGAATAGAGACTTCTGCATCAGAACCATGGTCAGGTTGGGGTGCAGAAGAAGTTGGCTTCGCAAAAATTCAGGAGGATTCTACGAAGTCCAGCAACTGGAAGGATGCTTCTGCATCTTGGGGAAAGAAGAATGTGGATACCACCACTTCTTGGGGAAGAAAGGCTATAGGTGACAAATTTACTCGGGGAAAGACAAGTGAACCATCACCTGGTTGGGATACCACGTCTGCTTGGGAGGCAAAGGCTAAAGATAAGTTTGAAAATGTTGGGTCTTCTGTGGCAAAGTCATCATCAGTTTGGTGTGCAGATGCCAATGTTGGAAATGATAGTTCCTGGGGTGCTAAAGGTAGCAGTGACGATGGCAATGACACTTCTTGGGGGGAAGGTGCCAAAGGTGGCAGCGACAGTTCCTGGGGGCCATCATCTGTCAAAGGTGGCAATGACAGGTCATGGGGCCAAGGTGCCGAAGGTGGCAGTAACAGTTCATGGGGTGGAGGTGCCAAAGGTGGCAATGACAGTTCGTGGAGGCAAGGTAGCAAAGCTGGCAATGACAGTTTGTCGGGGCAAGGTGCCAAAGGTGGCAATGACAGTTCGTGGGGGCTAGGTGCCAAAGGTGGCAATGACAGTTCGTGGGGGCAAGACGCCAAAGGTGGCAATGACAGTTCATGGGGGCAAGATGCCAAAGGTGGCGATGACAGTTCCTTGGGGCCAGATGCCAGAGGTGACAATGACAGTTCGTGGGGGCAAGGTTCCAAAGGTGGCAATGACAGTTCCTTGGGGCCAGATGGCAGAGGTGACAATGACAGTTCATGGGATCAGCAGAAGTCATCTGAAGTTTCACTAGGTTGGGGCTTGGCCAATGACTCAAGTCAGCCAGCAAGTTCATCTGGTTGGGATCTGCCAAATGCTAGAGATGACAAGGAAAGTGAAAAGAATCAGTGGGGGCAACCTAGGGGCATCTGGAAAGGTAAGAAGAATAATCGCCCTCCCAGGTCTCCTGCACCCAGTGATTCTACTGTCGCTGGGCAGTATACTGTAACCAGACAACGGTTAGACATGTTCACATCTGAGGAGCAAGCTATTCTCTCTGATGTTGAGCCAATTATGCAGTCAATCAGAAGAATAATGCATCAATCTGGGTAGGTTCTTTAAGCTCTTTACACCTTTTCCTTTTTCTGCTCTTCTCTTAATAGTAGTATATGCTTGTAACACTATTAATCAAAGTTTAGGATATTAATCTGGGCCATTGCCAAGGTACATTCTTTATAGGAAGCTGCCTTTTGGTGGTAATGTAGCTTAGCTTTGGCAGTAAGACAACACATAGTTACAATTGCAGACGAACTTAATATTAATCTGATGAACACCACTCTTGTTATTTGAAGTTGCTAGTCAGGTAATAAGTGGTCACTTTGGCTTTTTTCCTCGTCCATCCTTCCCCTGACTAGGGTGCTCCATGATGCTATTTCTTTTCATCCCAAGTTCTGCCTAGATTTTATATTGCCTAAATATTCTTCTTTCAGTCTCCAGTGCCCTCATCTAATCTATAATTGGTTCAATTCTTTGAAGGTACAAGGATGGGGATCAATTGTCAGCTGATGATAAAATGTTTATTGTTGATAATGTCTTAAATTACCATCCAGAGAAAGCAATCAAAATGGGTGCTGGTATTGATCATATCACGGTATGTTTGACTAACTTCTCATGCCAACTGGATTTTTTTTCTAAATTTTGTTCTATTTTGGTTGACCATTTTATGATACATTATATGTAACAAGTTTGTATACTCATCTCAAGCTTTTAGGATATATAATATGTGATAAGTTTGTACTCATCTCGAGCTTTTAGCATATTTTATATGTGATAAAGTTTGTAACCATCTCAAGCTTTTCCTGTGAGTTTCTTAACGTTGTTTTTTTTTATCAAAAGCCAAAACTTTAAATTTTCAAAGCTTTGGGCCCTTTCCTGAGCCATATGGTACTCACAAATTATGGTTTGGACAATGGACAGTATGTTATATTATGTGAGCAATACTACAGTATCCACCCACCCAGTAACCTTACTGGGTATTTCCATGTGGTACCTCTCAGTAAGGTTACTGGGTGAGTAACTTAGCACTTTCCATATTATTTATTTATACATGAAATGAAACTTTACTATGGGATTTTTTTAAATGGGGCCTTTTCTATGACAGGTTAACAAGCACATCAGATTTCAGGATACTAGATGCTTCTATGTTGTGTCTAGTGATGGCAGCAGCAATGACTTCTCGTATCGCAAGTGCCTGGACAATTTCATCAGAGGAAAGTATCCCGACCTTGCTGATGATTTCCTCGGTAAATATTTCAGAAAACCTCACAATGGAGGTAACAATCGGGAGCGCAGTCTTCCTCCAGTTCTGGAGGAAAACAAGGAATGACATTTGTGGTATACCCTGTTTCCCTTTTGGTTTTAGATAGAGATAGTGTTTTAACTCTGATACAAACTTCATCTATCATCTGCAATTTTTACTGTATATAGAAAGTAGATGCATGTGTAGTTGACTTCCAATTAAGCAGATGTGTGAACGGCCTGCTTTTTGAATGAGTGCTGTTCATATGAATAGCAATTCCACCATTTCAAATGTAGCTAATCAATAGCTCAATAGATGAAGTATTTATTTCCCTTGAATTTCTCCATCGGTTCGACAGTTTTTAGTTTCCCCTTCAACGTACCTGAAGCAATTCTGCCTCCAAATGGTTCATTAAATTGGACATTTTATTATATTAAAGAGGTTAAAAAAATAAAATAAAATTCATCCCTCTTGTCGAAGGCATTCAATATCAGGTAAACGTCCAGGATTTAGAAATTAAATATCAATATTTATATTTTTGAATTTAAGTTTTATGCAATTTCTGAATATAATATACTTGTGAATTGTGTTGAGTGAGTACATAATTAACAAATCTCACTCACTTAAAATGTCTTTCAAGCATTCAATACAAATTTTAAACAAGAATTGATGATACCTGGAAATTTTTACTGTTATATAATGATTGTTTTTATTAGAATATTAATACAATATAATAAACCAATTCAATTATAGTGTTATTTATTTTTAATGTGATTATTTCCATAATCAGGGTAAGTTTTATAGTGTGTTTGTTGTAACCCCGCTCAAATAAATTGGTGGAGTAGGGTTTGGGAAAGCAGTAGCACTCGCTCCCCATATGGGTATTCCAAATCTCTATCCCGCTAGGGGATGTGGTGAGGAATGGATTGGAGACTAAAATCCAAAGCGGGGTGGGGATAGATACATTGATGTATATCCTAGTGGTGGATGTACATTGGGTCAGGACCTAAAGTGGAATTGATTTAACATATCTGTTTGATCTAATAAATTCCCTTTAATTATCATACTTGTATTTCAGTTTAATCCTTTAATGAATTCATGTCTTTGTGTTTGCAACTTATGTCTTTTGATATACTAAGGATGAAGCCACTATGAGAGTAGGTTAATATTCTTGTATGTTGGACACATGACCCGTAAACAATGGATCATGATTCATGGATATGGAACCCATGACTCTAATTTAAAGGAGTTAAGGTTATCCTCTTAAGGAGTCATTCAGGTTAATGGAAAGCAAAAGAGATCTCGATCATTTGAAAATGTTTAAATGATATTCTATTTTGTAAACATGGCTTTTCGATATAGAATAATTGAACTTGAGATAGAATGATCGATGAGGTAAAACGGACAAGACCTCGAGTTGATATGGATAATACATGGGGATGTTACATGGAAGGATTTCATGGACAAAAAGGTTATAGATCTTTCGTAATCACGGTATATAATCAAGAGTGCAACTTCGGGTTTATAGTGAAGTAATTCTGAAGTTAATAACCGACAGATAATTGACTTGGAGTTAATTTGTCTATGATTATTGGAGCTTGACTATATATGTCCAGTGAAGGGGTCGAAAACAAGGAGTCGTCGAACACAGTCAATATGCAATATTCGGCTAACTCTAAACTATGCCCAAGATCAATTAAAATGAGTTATTTAAACTAGATATGTGAATATATGTTACCTTCCAATGAAGTTTCAGCCCCAATGAACCTTCCTAAGGCATATCCAAAGCTTCCTAGACATAACGAGTGGGCGTCGACGCTTTCGGAACAGTTTCCAACCTAGTATATGTGAATCCTTTATTAATTTGTGTTTAAAACTAAATTTTAACACAACAAATCAAAAGAAAAGAAAGCAAGAAGGTTCGGCCATGGAGGAGAGAATTAGTCCAAAATTTTACATGATATTCATGCAAGTATTCCTCCACCAATCATAATATGATTTAGCCCACTATTATCTCATATTTGACATGACAATCATGTAAGTCGTTCTCCATAAATATATTAAACTATTTAATACATGTCTCAGAATACCTTCCATAACTTGTCTAATTCAATTTCCCAACTATTCTAAATAGTTCAAACTAAATTAAAATAATTTACACATATTGTCTAGGATAACTTTTACCGGCTACTTAGGGGACCCATATGGGGATGTTTAATATTAGGCTTCAACATATTCGGTTTGTACTCTTTATCTCATAAACATAAGGTACCGGACGTGTTACCGTTGTCCGACTCCACTATAGGGACAATGTTGCACTCCTGAATTAAACATTCTGTTTATCAGAAACTTTAATAATTTAATCGGATTAAATTATTTCATCAAAGCTATTTATTTAGGTACAACTACACATATACACCCATGGAACACCGATAACCGGAACTGGGTCAATATATCAATATACCCTTCCGGTTAAGTCTTTTCCTTGCTTTTAGTTTTACATCCACTGAATAATAAATGTTTAATAAACACTTCATTAAACGATAAGCCAAGTCTCATCATTAAAGACCTTGTAAAACCCACAAGACGGTATCCCTTAAACCTTTCGGAGTCATGAATTCCATATCTATGGAATAGTATTCTCGTATCCATAGAGTTACAATCCCAATTAGCCAAGGCATTGATCCATTAAACAACATAATCTCACCTTCTATTCTAATCAAAACTGCAATCTACAAATCAAAGATACACTACCTGTTAGGGCAAAATATCGTCTTGGGCTTGACGAGGCCCAATAACGAAATAAACATGCCACGGCCCAAGGCTTCAACCCAATACCGATTGGGCCTACGCTTAAAATCACCTTGCGACTTACCCACTCTTTGAGTTGGGCTATCCTATAAGTTAAGCTAAACTGGATTTCAGCCCATTAGCCTGCAACAATCTATAAATAGAAAATTAGGATCTCATTCTATTTCCTTTTCTACTAAGATTTCAAATCTTACTCAAACTATTAAACTTGATCTGATAAGGTCAAGAAATCATATCTCTTTCATGATAGAGATTATCTCCCAAAATAGGACTTAGTGTCTTATTAAGATTCCAAATCTTATTTAAACTATTAAACTTAATCTGATAAAGTCAATAAATCATATCTCTTTCATGATAGAGATTATCTCCCAAAATAGGATTTAGTGTCCTACTAAGATTCCAAATCTTATTTAAACTATTAAACTTAATATGATAAGGTCAAGAAATTATAACTATTTCATAATAGGGATTATCTCCCAAAATAAGACTTAGTGTCTTACTAAGATTCCAAATCTTATTTAAACTATTAAACTTAATCTGATAAGGTCAAGAAATCATATTTCTTTCTTGATAGGGATTATCTCCCAAAAAAGAGGACTCAATGTCCTACTAGGATTCTAACCCCTTGGGTTTACTATAAAAACAAAGGCTTGCCCTCTCATTAAAAAATGCAATCTCCCACAGTCAATCTACACTATTCAAAACCATCTATTTGCTTCTAAAGTTCTTGCTCCCAAGAACCCGACGCCTCCGCTGTAGTCCTAGCCTCCGACAAGACTCCTGGTAAATCTTCATCTCCTTAATTCTTATCAAATAATCTCTTTCAGCCCCGCTGACTTGAGCGTCAGAGTGCCTACGGCAAACACCACCCCGGTGTTTTCCGAAAGCTTCACGCTTGCCCTTTCATGTGTGCAGGTCTAGCGGATTGTCAGTGGCCTCAACCTCACGGGATCAGACCCTATTTTATGACAGTAGATTTTTTGCAGCTACAGTTTGGCGCCCACCGTAGGGCCCTGACAATCATCTGCCAACAATGACTTACAACATGGGAGGCGATACGAAACTCCTTTTGACTGACAATGTTAATCAGAAAATCTCATCATGATAAGAATTTTTTTTTTTCTTTATTTTTCTTCGTTTGTTTTATCTATTCACATGCCATATTATATCTATTCGACATATCGTAATTTATTTTATATTATATCCATTCAGCGGGTAGTATAAGACCTTGAAGCTCATATTATTGTTCTAAATTAATAATAGCTTCATATTATTATTCTAAATTAATAATAAAATAATAATGTGTTAGAGTTTAAAGTGGTGTTCCTAAACCACTTGATTCATTGACTTTGCTTCAACAATCTCTCTTCTCTAATCCTCTATTCAGATAAGGCAATAGCTTCTGTCTCTAACCTCTCTGCACACACCTTTTCACTTCAATCATCAAACCACCAGGTGGTCCGCCAGCGTTATCAGAGCTTTGCAATGCATTACCCGCCACAGAACCAGTCAATTTGTTCATTCAAGAAGATGCCGCAATACGCTAGCATCTCTAGGACCTCCGCTCCATTAGAAGGTAACTCAAACTTGACCAGCCTTGATCCAATCCCAATTCAACTTCACAGAGATTTGCTACCACATTGAAACCCAAAACCCGTCCATCTGTTCTCCTAAAATCGCCCTAATAGCTTCTCCAATCACACAGTAAAATCCTAAAAACACAACAGTAATCCTCTCAAAACACCTAAAGTCATCTACTAAACACGAAGAGAAACTCCCCAAACAAAACCTACTTAAGTGACGCCACCCCGCTCTCACCTAATCTCTTTACCCCACCGTATTCCAAAACTCCAAACTCGAACCATCGCCCTTTCCCAACCAATACATATCAACTCAAACCACCTTCACATCACAATCTCCAGCACACTTGTCACAAAAGCCCTCACGCTCCCCGCTATTTGCAAACTTTCCACTCCCCACTACAACTCAGCACCACTAAACAACACGAGTAGTCCACTCAATTATATTTGGGTTTGCACATACAATATCAATGTTGTATGTGCCCATTCGGATCAGCCCAAAAGTGAATCACGTGCCCACTCAACTTCAACTGGTTCAACTCTGACATAGAAAGTAACACCTCTCTCTCCACTCGGTCCAACAAGCATGGGTGGCAGCACTTGAAGGGGAAAGGTATGTGTCATTGTCTCCTTTTAACTACCACTCTATTTGGTTAAATCTTTCTCTATTCGGCCCATTACTTAAATACATGCAGC